TCCCAAGGAACAAGGGATGGGACAAGAGGAACCGGCCTCAAGCTGCCCCAGGGCAGGTTTAGCTGGAGCTGAGGAACAATTCCTTGCCCAGAGGGTGCTCAGGCATTGGAACAGGCTGCCCAGGGCAGGGCTGGAGTCACCGTCCCTGCAAGTGTTCACAGCCCGTGGAGCCAAGGCCTCAGTGCCAGGGGGCAGTGGTGGCCTTGGCAGGGCTGGGAATGGTTGGGCTGGATGAGCTTAAAGGTCTTTTCCAAATCAGTTGATTCCATGAGTCTGTGATTCTAAGAATGAAGTATGACTCCCAAAGTGTAATAAGACATGTCACCTCCTCCCCACCCTGCACTGACCAGGAGAGCCACTGTTTGACTATGGGCAATAATGGTCTCTCAGCACCACTAAGAGGACACTAAAGCCCTTCTCTTCCTTCCCCAAATCTGTGCTTTTATTTGCTGATTACTGAGCCTTCCCTGCCTCTCCCCAAGGTTTCTGGAGTCCTCTGCCCTCTCATGCTGCCATTCACCGTCACTGTCAGCCCCCTTGAAGTGACAAGGTTACCCATGACTCAAAGCTACTGGAGGCAGCAACATCTTTTCATAGAACCCCAGACTGGTCTGGTTAAAGCTCATCCAGTCCCAACCCCTGCCCCGGGCAGGGACACCTTCCACTAGAGCAGGTTGCTCCAAGCCCCTGTGTCCAACCTGGCCTTGAACACTGCCAGGGATGGGGCAGCCACAGCTTCTCTGGGCACCCTGTGCCAGCGCCTCAGCACCCTCACAGGGAAGAGCTTCTGCCCAAGAGCTCATCTCAATCTCCCCTCTGGCAGGTTCAAGCCATTCCCCTTGTCCTGTCCCTCCATCTCTTGTCCAAAGCCCCTCTCCAGGTTTCCTGCAGCCCCTTTAGGCACTGGAGCTGCTCTAAGGTGTCCCCTTCAGGAGCCTTCTCTTCTCCAGCTGCCCCAGCCCAGCTCTCTCAGCCTGGCTCCAGAGCAGAGCTGCTCCAGCCCTCGCAGCAGCTCCGGGGCCTCCTCTGGACTCACTCAAGGAGGTCCACATCCCTCTTGTGTCCCTTTGGCTTTGGCTGGCAGCTACCCCCATCCACCCAGATGCAGGAGATATTGGGTCAGACCACAAGAAGTGGAGTGTCCCTCACCTCATAAGGTGGTGAATTTGTCTCCCTGCATTTGCTCTCAGTTACACCCTGTTCCGTATCTTGCAGGATGGGAGCTCAGGTCTGAAAACAGGGTCTCCCATCCTGTTGTGCCCCAGGATGAAAGGGCTGCTTCGGGAAGAGGATTCTATCACACCAGGAGACCACGTGAAGTGTGGACAGGAAAACACTCCTGTGCTGGCTTGGCATTTCTCCTTGCTCCACCCTTCCAGACAGGACCCAGCACTACGTGGACCTATGCTCTGACCCCTCATGGCAATTCCTATGGCACAGGACAAGCAGGTTACTCACTGTGCTGGCAGGTTTTGCACTCACCTTCATTCCCAGTGTAATTTCTTTTCTCAAATGCAGCCTCTGGTAGCTTTCTCTTTAATTCAGACAAACCCACAACATGCTTAATGTCCAGGTTGGGAGGTCTGTGGTGAGAAAGCAGCAGATAGTGAGATTGAAAGCAGAAAAGGGTCTTGGGATTAAGCACAGGAAATACAGTCCTGGTTGCCCTGTCACTGTGAAACCAGAGAAAGCAACTCTGAAGAAGGTGTCTGTAAACACCTCCGAACACTGATACTGGTGGCTGTGTTTCTGGCCATCACTGGCAGTTTCAAATTGCTGCTGGTTAGCTTCTGACTACTGAAGATTGTAAGCTGCTGGTTACCTCAATAGGTGATAGGACAAGGGGAATGGCTTGAACCTGCCAGAGGGGAGATTGAGATGAGCTCTTAGGCAGAAGCTCTTCCCTGTGAGGGTGCTGAGGCGCTGGCACAGGGTGCCCAGAGAAGCTGTGGCTGCCCCATCCCTGGCAGTGTTCAAGGCCAGGTTGGACACAGGGGCTTGGAGCAACCTGCTCTAGTGGAAGGTGTCCCTGCCCGGGGCAGGGCGTGGAGCTGGAGGAGCTTTAAGGTCCCTTCCAACCCAAACGAGACTGTGACTCTGTGATTCAATGCTATTTGCTGTCATGCTGATCTGTAAACACATCTGGCTGATTGTACATCCACCATCGGGAAGCTCACTTCTCACAGGGAGAAAAATCCCAAGCAGGAATAACTGATTTGGAATAAACATCCCAAAGCAGTTAACAGAAAGAAATTACAAAATACAGCTGTTTCCAGATGCAGTTTAGGGCCTGATCTCATGTCCTCATCCAGCTGTTGTTGTGACACTGTCCAACACCACTTTTCTGACACTGATTGCCCCAACAACACTGGGACAGCTCCACGAAGGTGCTGATCTATGACGGGATGGGGCAGGAGAGACAAAGCTGGTTTTTACTGGTGCAAACACCCAAAGGTGTAATGCTGCACACTACAAATTGCACAGAAAGAAGAGAAAGGGCAACTTACAGCTGGGCTGGGATCGTCGAGCTGTGTGAGGTCCTCAGGGCGATGCTGCACAGAAACTGGCCCTGGATGGAGAGCTGCCCCCTCCATGGGCAGTACAATGCTACAAGGAGAAGGGAGAAGGGCTCAGAGAAAGCAGGACAGGAGAGGAGGACAAACAGGGAAAGGTACATTTACAAATCAAAGCCAACCCCCAGATGCTCCTACCTTCGTGGTTAAGCTCAGGTCTAGAGAAAAAGGAGAAAAAGAAGAACATTTAGCAATGGGTAAAGGAAAAACCAGCCCACAAAAACAACTGGGTGCTTTGGAACACGTTGCTTACAGGCTCTCTATGGCCAAGACAGGCATTTCCTTTGGCTCCCTGTACTGGCAGGCAATGATGATGTAGGGGCAGATCTGCCTGGGCCGCTCTGCAGTGCTGCCACCAGACACTTCATACACGTAGTACTGGGGTGAGAAGGGAAACACGGATGAGAAGAACAAGGTGAGGAGGGACAACACTGTGTCCCCCTGCAGCTGTCTGCACAGTCCTGTTGCAAACTCATACCTGGCTCTGCTCAAAGGCCTGGCAGCAACTGGTCTTTGATGGTAGGTTGCTTCTGCTCATGGCAACGTGGCAGTCATAGCCAGGAGATGGGCAGGTATAGCTGGTTGTGTAATTCTCAGAGATCACCTTCACCTTCCCCTGTGCCAGAGAATTTACCCAGAAAAAGAGGAATACACATAGTTATTCACAGAAACTTCTTTAAAAGACTCCTAAACCCTCCTTTTTCCCAAAGACTGCTGCTGCCAGCCCCACACTCCCCACCACTGTATGCTGATGTCCTTCAAACCTAAGGGCCTGACTTGGCCAAGTCTGGCATGGCAGACAAACCTGCACTGCTCAGGAGAGCAAATGGAAGCAGTGTGGTTTTGGTGCTCTCTATAGAGAGCAGGAGCCAGTAGGGAGAGGAGAAAGGGGCCATACATCAGCCCCATGGAGGAACAAAATGGGGCTGTGATCTGAGCCACCTCATGGGTCTTCCCTAAACCCCCAAAATGCATCAGAATCCAGGGAAAAAGATGATCCTTTGGGGAATTTCTGATCTCAGCAGTGGAATCTGGAAGGTCCTTTGCTGCCCTGCAGGCCAGTCAAACCCAGCTGGATCTCTTGCTTTCCAGCCTGACACATCCCAACAAGCTCTCAATAGAGCTGATGTTACAACCCACCACAGTCATTGGCCCCTTAAAAACTGCTTGCAGTGTATAGTGGCATCTGAAAATCATTCCACACATAAAGAAAGACTTTTGCTTACCTTAATCAGCTTACAAATGACAATATAGCCTGATTTCCCATGGTACCAGGGTCTCGGATGGAGACAGTCTGCATACTTGGAAATATAAACCCCTGAGAAGACAAAGCAATGCAAGATCATGTAACTCATGTGCTGAGGAAAGCTGATGGCCCAAAAACCCCTGTAAAAAGGACTCTCCTGGCAGAAATGGGAGTCTCTGAGGAGCCAGTGCTGCAAATCAGAGAAGCACTTGCTCCTATAAGGGTGACACTGTGACTCTTCCTCTTTGGTATGGAGCAGTACTGTATGTTTCAGGGTCAGCTCTAGGAAAGGAGTTAACTTGGGTTTCTCCTGGGAGAAGTAGCCCAGCTAACATCAGTTTTGCCCACATTACATGAAAACACACCAGGTGAGGGCTTGTCTGTTATAGGAAGGTCTAGAGAAGGGCTTCCAGGTCTGACTGAAAGTGGGGCAGATAATCTACTCAACTTGAAGTCATGCAGAGGCAACATGGATGTTTAGACATGAGGAACACACACTACAAAGGCACAAGAGGAGTCCCATGGCATGGCACAGACTTTCCTGGGCTCCTTCCTTGGCTCTTTATGGCCTTCAGCATCCCAGATGCCAACAAGAACCTTCAAACCCAAGACATGGCTTATTCCCATCCCTTCCCTATGCTCATATGTGGATTGACTGGGGTAGTGTGTTGGCTTTTCACTCCTGCTTTATACTTATAAACAAGATGAGAAGTCGTGGGGGGAAATGGAAGCTACAAAGAAACACACCATAATATTCATCCCAGCCCATCACGAATAAACTATACATCAGGTAAATAACCAGTTCCTGCCTGGTTTTGCAATCTTGCCATTGTCTTTTCAATGAGTAGGTGTCTTGGCCTGCAGAGGCTTGCAGGATGAGCAAGAAACACAGGATATTCCCTGGGTCTTTGCAGTAAATACAAGGCAGGACCAGGAGTTTATCTGGGCTTTTCATTTTGGTTTTAAAGGCCTCAATAGCCCCAGAAGAGTGAACATTGGTCCTGTGCAGGGAAATCTTACCTTTGGCTGGGTCACCAAGCATGGAAATGGAGCTGCTGTTCACACGCAGGCCTGTCTGACACACTTCTTTTGCCTTCAAAAGAAGAAACAGCCTCTTTTACCATCTATTTTCAAACACAAGGGACACAGTTACTGAAAGCACAACAGTTGACAGAACACATGCAAGGGGCAAAGACACGTTGCAAGTCAAGTACAGATCATTACAGCCCCAGAACACTTGTGGCAGCAGGAAAACTAAACCCAATGTCCACAGGAAGAACTAACAGGAAGAAAATGTCTTGTTTCAGCTACTAAATGCTTGTTTTTATCAAGTGTTCTTACAAAACCCTCCATGGAAGCAAAAGCTTAGAGAAATCTGGGAAAAAAGCAGATTCAAAGTGTGCCAAATCCAAATATATATTGACCAAAGAGTGACAACAGGAGCTGTTTGAACTCATTATGGGCGAGAACTAAAAGCAAACCACTCAAACTGTTGTCAGTCCATTATAAGCAACATGGGGCACTCATCACACCTAACTCCTGCCTCCTAGAAGGCAAGTGTCTAGCTTAGACAAGCCCACAAGGCTTCTCCTCTGAACAACAGAGACAGGGACATCCAGAAAGCAACTTAGTCCAAGCATTTGAGATGCCTATATTAAATGTGGTCCTCTGGAGAGCTCCTCCTTTCCCAGGGTCTGTGCAAGGAGCTCAGTCACAGACTATGCTAAATTTCAAACAGCCAAAGGCTGAGAGAGCTGGGCTGGGTCAGCTGGAAAAGAGAAGGCTCCTGAAGGGGACACCTTAGAGCAGCTCCAGGGCCTAAAGGGGCTCCAGGAGACCTGGAGAGGGGCTTTGGACAAGGGATGGAGGGACAGGCCAAGGGGAATGGCTTGAACCTGCCAGAGGGGAGACTGAGATGAGCTCTTGGGCAGAAGCTCTTCCCTGTGAGGGTGCTGAGGTGGTGGCACAGGGTGCCCAGAGAAGCTGTGGCTGCCCCATCCCTGGCAGTGTTCAAGGCCAGCTTGGACACAGGGGCTTGGAGCAACCTGCTGTAGTGGAAGGTGTCCCTGCCCGGGGCAGGGGTTGGAGCTGGAGGAGCTTTAAGGTCCCTTCAACCCAAACTATTCCATGATTTTATGATTCTATGAAAATGAAGCAAGACAGTTCCCACACCCAAACTGAGACTCAAAGTGATTTATTTTACTGTAGCTCAATCTAAATTCAACAGAACTAAACTGCATTTGGGCCAGTCTGATCCTTCACAAAACCATCTCCACCAGGAGGTAGCACTGCATCGTTAAATCACGTTAAAAATGAATTCCCAACAGATGCCCTGAGCATCTTTGTGTAGACAAGTTCTTCACAAAATCAAGAGCATCCTTGTGAAAAAAGGGCAGGAATAACTTTCCCAACAGTGGTGTCAGGCTCTCTGTCCACCTAGCTGGCAAAACCAAAGGGATCTTGCCCAAAACTCCTGTCTTCTGCCACAAAGGTGCCTTTCTAAGCATCCATGAAGGGTTTCACCTGCCTGTACTTGACCATAAATCCACTGGGACAAGGGAGACTCCTATCTCCTGCAGAGGGGAAAGGAAGCAGCCAAATCTCACACAGTAGTTTGAATGGAGAGATGCAAAATCAGATCCAGCACTAAAACCTCCCAGGAGCTGCTTTCAGAACTTGCTCTGGACTATTTACACAGTAGTAATTGCACTGGTGAAGAGGGTACAGAGAGCCAGGACACATCAGTCAACACATCTGCTGGGCTTTGTTGGGACACAGCACACGTGCAGACACTTGGCATCAAACTTAAGCTGAATAAATATTCAAGTTACCTCTTCTTCATTATCAAACAGGAGAAAGGCAAAGGTCTCCTCCAGCTCTTCCTGGCTGTAACCAGCAGCTTCCTTTGCTTGGGCAAAAGCTTTGAGCTGCAGAAGACACAACAACACTTTGTTCTAGTCCATTCATACTAAAGCCAAGTGACAGGAGTTCTTGTGAGGACAGTGTGTCCCACGTACCTGCAGTCATGGTCACTATGGGGCAGCTGGCAGGAGCCATGTGCCACACAGCATTCCCTCCCCAAGGCATCCCATCCAGTCTCCCACCACGAGGCCCCCAATCCATGTGCAGTCTGTCCATCTGTCCCTGCCTTTGTCCCCACCAGAACACGTTCAATGTCCTTGAACACGTTCAATGTCCTCCAAGGACAGGAGGCACATCCAGCCCCGTGGTGTCATGCTGTGCTCATCCACAAGGAATGTCCAGCCTTATTCCACCTTGTCCCTCTTCCCACACATCATTGGCTACTGGGGAGCTGGTTTCACTGAGCAGCATGTGGGCTGGTAGAGCATCACATTTAGTAGCCAGCTATGGCCATCAGAAGACAAAATCATCTCAGCCATGAAATGATGCCTCCAGAAGGGGATATGCTTGGGGGCACCTCTCTTCTTCTCTCTCTGCTGACCAAGAAAGCCTGAAATATTTGACTAGAGCCTATCATAAGACTACAGGTCAGAGGGTTTGGCTACAGCCAAATAACACATTGCTCTGACTTCTTTTGTCTGACATCTAAAGCAGAGCATGTTCCCAGCACAGGTTGGGAGAGCATCATGGGAGCAACAGAACTGGCTCTGAGTCCATGAGGATTTGGGGCTTTAATACAAGTTGTAGAGGTACAAGAACATTTTTAGACAGGGTTATAAGATAAGAAAACAACAAACTCATCACTGCTTTTGTTTATTTTGGCTTCACAACTCAGGCAAATCAACAAATTAAGACCCGTTTTCCCAGGTTTTTATCCAGCTCCACAGTGACTACGCCAGATTTAAGCAGCCAAAATGTCTATGCTCTATTTAACTGCTGACAACAAGCAGCGTGGTCTCCCCCAGAGAACACAGCCTGTCCTCCACACCAATGCCCCATCCCTGGCAGTGTTCAAGGCCAGGTTGGACACAGGGGCTTGGAGCAACCTGCTCTGGTGGAAGGTGTCCCTGCCCAGGGCAGGGGTTGGAGCTGAAGGAGCTCTAAGGTCTCCTCCAGCCCAGTGTGATCCTATGAAAGCAGGATGAAGGCATTTTAGAAGTGGTTCTGTACACACCCCAGACAGCTGCAGAAAGAGAAATGGGGTTAAAACTGGTGCCTGCCCAGGGCTGAGGGCAGACAAAAGAAATAGCACATGGAAATCTGCCTGAGTCTCAATCAGCATAACAACAAAGTCAAAGCCCTCCAGCCAGGTAGCAAACCAGGACTCCAATCTGCCCTGAAGGCCTGCTCCAGGAACTGCTGTGAATGCGTGGCCACACTGTCTCAATGGGCCTTTGGTTCCTGATCAGATTGGGAAGGAAGTGAAAGAAAGGAAAGAAAAGGCTTCC